AGAACCATGATCTTGCTAGACTCTTCATTTTGGAAGAACCAAGATGAGTATCATGTAAAGTTCTTAAAACTTCTTTTTGTAACATTTTGGGGATAATTACTCTTGACCCCCATAGTACACATCCATCTTCTAGACTTAACTCCATTTTTCTTATTTTATATGGCCTTAAGTCATCATTCACAGACTCTTCAGGCCAACCATTCTTACAGTACTCATATACTTTTATTAAGCACTCATCTTTTTGTGTTTCTCTTTTAATATCATTCACATCTATATTGGAGTTATCCATGATAGTGAAGAGAACAAATACAACATCTGGTACATAGCTCAGGCTTTGGTTTTTTAAAGATAATCTACTCAGACTATCTGCACTATTCTCAGATCCAGGTTTGTATTTCAATTCATAATTGTATGCAGTTAGTGTGATAGCCCATCTTTGAATTCTTGGTGAGGCATGCTCAGGTAGGGTTTTGTTTTCTCCAAATAAACCTAGCAATGGTTTATGATCTGTAAAGATGGTGAACTTCCTACCAAACAGAAACTTATGAAATTTCTTAACACCAAAAATGATGCCTAAGCCTTCCCTATCTAACTGAGAATAATTTTTCTCAGCCTGGTTCAAAGATCTACTGGCAAAAGCAATGGGTCTGTCACCCTTCTCATCCATGTGGGACAAGACTGCTCCTACACCATCTGGTGAAGCATCACATGTTAATATAAGTCTTTTCCCTGGGTCATAGTGAGTTAGTAAGGTGTCAGAAGACAAAGCCTCTTTTGCTGTATTAAAAGCAGTATCTTGTTGTTTACCCCAGTGCCAAGTTGCATTTTTCTGTAGCAGCTTGTACAGTGGTGATAGTTTACCAGACAGGTTTCCTATGAACTTTGCATAGTAATTTATCAAGCCCAAAAAAGCTCTTAGTTGTTGGGTATTTTCAGGTTTGGGTGCTTCTTTAATGGCTTTTGTTTTCTCAGATTGAGGTCTGATACCTTGCTTGCTTAATATATAACCAAGAAAACTAATTTCTGTCAGCATGAATTGACATTTATCTTTGTTTATCTTTAAACCTTTTTCACCAACAATTTTCAAGACTTTATCAAGTGTTTTAAGATGTTCAGTGTCATTCTTACCAGTTATGTACACATTGTCAAAGTAAACACAAACATTTGGAATATCCTTAAAAATACTGTCCATGACAGCTTGGAAAATTCCAGGGCTGGATGATATACCAAAACATAGTCTTTCATATTGGTAGAGTCCTTTATGTGTGTTTATTGTCGTATAGACTTTTGAATCTGGATGCAGTTCTAGTTGAGTGTAAGCATGACTAAAGTCTAATTCAGTGAATTTGTCTCCTCCTGCCAAATTCAAAGAAATTTCCTCAATGTTAGGAATAGGGTACCTATTTAGCTCTATTTGCTTATTCAGTGTAGTTTTATAGTCTCCACAAATTCTTATAGAACCATCCTTCTTTAACACTGGCACAATGGGCGTTGCCCAATCGGAATAGTCTACCTTCTTTATGATGCCATTAGATTCCAATCTACTTAGCTCATTTTCAATTTTATTCCTCATTGCATAAGGTGGAACTCTAGCTTTGCAGTATCTTGGATTTGTGTCTTTAATGCTTATCTTCACTGTTCTATCATTTAGTAAACCTGAATTGCCAAAAACACTTTTATTTTCAGATATTACTTTATCTATTGAAGTAAGACTAGATTCTCTTGCATTGTTCAATGAACATATACTCTCCCAATTTAACTTAAGATCACTTAACCAGTTCCTACCTAGTAATGGTGGTCCATTTCCTTCAACCACAAGAAGAGGGAGTTTAACACTTTGACCATTATAACTTACATGAACCATACACTCTCCTATTACCGGAACATTGTCACCAGTGTATGTTGTTAGACACTTGTGACATAGCTGTAGAGGCACTGATCCTCCTGTGACAGCGTCAAAATCTTTCTTTGTTATGACTGTTAGAGATGCTCCAGTGTCAAGTTGGAAGCTGATGCTCTTACCGTTGATATTAACTAGTACATTGATGGGAGCATGACTTATTGATTTCACAGAGAACAGGTTGAAATCCGGCTGCGAATCAGTTTGAGCATTTTCACAGGTAGAGTGGTTCATTGGTTGGGTTAGGTAGTCTTGGTGAGAGTTAACATAGTGCTGCCTTTGGTTGCGGTACTGTCTTGACTGGCTAGATTTAGCAACAGACGAAGACTTTGCAAAGCAGGCCTTGGCAATGTGACCTTGCCTACTGCACTTATAACAAGTTGCAGACTTGAACTTGCATCGATGAGATGCATGGGGACCTTTGCATCGATGACATTTTTGATAATTATTACTAGATTTAGATCTAGGCTTTAAACGTGCAGGCTGTTTAGCATAAGTTGGAATGCTCTGATTGGGTTGGTGTTTGTTGACTAACCTGCTGTTTACTGCATGGATCTCTGAAGGCGTTAGAGATTTCGCCGCCTCGGATGACTGCTGGAATGAAGTTGCAAGTTGTATTGCTTTTTCTAATGTTAGATCTGACTCAAGCAGCAACTTTCTTTGAATATCAGGGCTGTTTACACCTGTCACAAACTTTTCACATATTCTGTCAGACAGCGTGTCTCCGAATTCACAAAATTCACTTAAATGACGTAAAGCAGCAACATATTCTGATATTGACTCGTTTGGTTGACGAGCCCTACTGTCAAATCTAGCTCGACATAGCAACTTTGATGGGGTAGGCGCATGGTGGTCTGTTAGCAATTTGCTCAGCTCGTTAAAGCTCTTGGTAGTTAGACTAGCTGGTGCGCATAAGTCCTTTAGTAGCCTAAATTGTTGAGGCCCTATGACTGTTAACAAAACAGCTCTCTTTTTGGCTTCTATCGTCACGTTGTTTGCTTCAAGGTAAAAGCTTAACCTATCTAGGTAATCATGAATGATTTCATCATTCGAATCAAATTCTTTTATTTGGCCATACAGCGCCATTATTCTAGAAATACTTAGCCAATATGCTCTAGCAAACCTCTTTTTTGCGTAAGTAGGTGCTCTTTCTAGTGGATTATTTATCCTCGTCGCCAATGTGATGGATTGGAATCACTGACGAGAAGCCACATTGATTGTTAACAGTAGTTTATTCACCACCATGAGGAAAGAGAGAGAGGGCGGAAGTCACGAGACACTTATATACATAAACATGTAAGGGACATCACTCAAGATAACAATATAAATATAATACTAATACAGAAGAGTGAGTTCCCTTGACTTCACAAGTCTCACTATATTACACATAAGTATTATAATTACTCAAAATTTGACAGAAGGTAGAGAATTAGATATTTTACTTACATGTGAATTTTCTTTATCTATCTGAAATAGTACTCAAGTTATAGGCTTTTGAAAAATTCAAAGTAGAAAAAGTACCACTTCCGGTTATCGGAAATCGCTCAAAAGTTGATCAGAATCTACGATTTTGATAAAATACTTATATATGAAATTTCATCAACCTAGCTGTAACGGTACTCAAGTTATCGTGTTTACACACGGACAGACAAGATTGCAAAATTATGTTTTTCCGTATTAGTGAGGTGTAAAACGTCGAGATTTATAAAAATTCTCTATACTTTGTATGTACGAGAAAGTAAAATACCATACGAAATGTGGTCTGGAAATAATACGAAACTTGCTAGTATATTCGCCCAAAACTAATGATATATGATATGTTTTGCTTGTTGGCCTTTTAAATAAAAGTCAGACATTTGAACACGTCGATCCCCTGTTCAAAACTATTAACATAAATGCAAAAAAAAAAAAAAAAAAAAACACACACACACACAAAAATAACACAAAAATAAAACAAACAAGGGAAACCATAACACATATGAAATCTCCGTGTTTAAATAATTTTGACCGGCTTACCAGACATTACTTATATTTAAGCGGGTATAAAAGTGAGACATTGAAAATAAAAGTAGATCTATATTTTTTTTTTTTTTAAAAGGTACAAATGAAAATTTTATGAATTCATTAAAAAATTGATTAGTCATCCAATTAAGTTTAATTTCATGTTATTGTCTTCAAGTCTTGACCCATGTGCCAACTTTGAAACCAATCGGTAGGTCGGAAGTGCTCAAAATTTCACTCAACAGTTTCGATCTATGACGACAAAACCACGAGAGAGGAAGTAAGTTACATAAAAACTTGTAATAAATGTGCTATTCTTGTGTTTTTGAGCACACACTTTAAAATGTATATCTTCTATACTAAAAAAATATTTTCTATAATTACTTATTATTTTTTTAATTATATCGCTAATATTTAATGCCTAATTGGGGGGGGGGGGGGGAAGGGGGGCTAAAAATTTCTGCTCTAACTTAATCCGCCCTTGGCTGATGTGTGTTCTAAATAAATGGAGACAAAAAATATTTAAATTTCTAAATTTTAATTTTATCCAAATTAATTTATGAAGGTTTATTTAATTTTAAAATATGAATACAACTCAGAAGAGGAACATAAATCAAGCAAACAAATATATTCACAAGATAGTTCATAATGAGAAGAAAATGTATCTATTAAGTTTGTGTAGGGTAGGCCTATCTAAGTGTTACAAGCAGTTTCAGGACTAGCCAATTGTTTACACCCCCCCCCCCACCAATTTTTCTGTTTTATTTATTTACATTCACAAATGTCTACATACCTTATGCCTCAAAGATGAGATTAAATTTAAGAAAAGGACTAGTACATTAAACAGGAATTATTGGTTTAAGAGTGGCTTACACACAGTTGTAGGATTATGGAAATGCAGGTTACTTGAAAATAGAAAACAATAAAAAAAAATTATTCACACATATCTAAATAAACTTACAGCCAATCTTCTATCACACAACTTAATATAAAATGCAATATATTTTCTTTGAATTTAAGGGCATCCCAAATTGAAGTCTCATTTGTAAGCACTTAAGATTCTCACCCTATAATTCTAATAATAAATTAAGTTAAAGAATAACATTTTTAAAATCTTTATTAAATGCAAAATAGCTACATAGCCCCTATTTCAAATACAAATCACAAAGTTGTATCACCCCAGGTATGTGACGTCAGTAAGTGGACTTTCCTGCTGTTTTTAATAGATCTTCCTCAATTCATATGTAGAACTTTCAATAGATCTTCCTCAATTCATATGTATAGCTTTTAATAGATCTTCCTCAATTCATATGTATAACTTTTAATAGATCTTCCTCAATACATATGTATAACTTTTATCAATTCATATGTATAACTTTTAATAGATCTTCCTCAATTCATATGTATAACTAAGCTTATAATCTGATTTAAAATTGAAAAACTGATTTTGATTAGAATTCAGACAAAAAAAAAACAAATGACATAGAGTATTAGTGGTATACATAAAAAATAATGATTTATTTGAGATTAGATTATTTCTTTTGGCTAACCAGTTCTAGCCTATACTAAATTTTATATCTTTAAAAATACAGCTAAAACTAGTACTTGTTACCTAATACTGTTAATACATGTTTTAAAAGCTAGCAATTATAACTTAAATTAATCGAGTTCACACAGTTAATGGTGATGCATTGGGATGGCAAGTGCCTATTAAAACTAGAAATACTAATATTGTTACTGATCTATTACAAAGATTAAAATCTTTGCTCATTATTTACAAAATAGGTTTCTTTATATTTAAGGTATCAATGTGGTCTTCCTACAAGTGAATCAGAGTTGTTTCTCTGTCTACGACTAGTCCTATTGGGACGCATAAGTTCTTGAATATGTTGAACTATCAAATCAATAGCCACTGTAAAAATAAAAATGTTTGATTATTAAAAATGTTGTGTTACACTTAAACAGTTACAAATTCTGTGAAAATTATACATAAAAATATATAATGTAGTGGGAGTATAAATTAAAAAAAGACACTTCATTTGATGGAATGAATCAGAATTTATCAGCAAATGAAAACACTGCCAGAGACAAAAAGTAGCAAGGCTGATTTCTCCTGCAAGCTTGTAAACTGTACGTCACTCAACTGTGTGCCCCAAACCCTTTGAGTCACTAGTGCATCTGAACCGCCTAATCTTGGTACAAAATATAAGCCTACTTATTAGTACCAGGGGTCGCAAAGTACTGGTTGTTTAAATTTATTCAGTCTATTTGCAGCAAAAATCAAGTGTGTGGTAAGAAGTAATACCACAATTCCCTATAAGTTTAAGGAGCAAAATTCTAGCGTATAACATATTTTGTGTGGTGTATGCTTTGAAAGGTTTTTATATATATTTTACAAAATCACTGGGCAGAATGTTGACAGCTACTAAGTGAACATTGTTGATGACCATAATTTTACAGGGGAAAATAAAAGCATTATAACCATGACTACAGTTGAGACTTTTTTCTTTTTTACTCATTTTATACTGACCTTGACACCAAAAGTATTTGAATTGTATACGCTTGTGTAAGCTATGATTAAGATAACGGCAGAAAAACAAAAAGAGTGACAGTGAAAAGGTAACTTTTTGAGGCTATCATGAAAGGAAAAAACATCTTACCAACATTATCTGCTCCTCTGGGTATTATTACATCTGCATATTTCTTGGTCTATTTCAAAGAAACAAAATAAAACGAAGGTATTAAACTCATTCTCTATGATGATGAGATTGTTTGGTATGTCACAGTAACCACACCTGCTTTACATAAAATTCCATGAAAATTTTAATTGAATTATTTTGTTCATTCATTAACTTAAATAACTTTGAAACAAAATAGATAAGCTACGAAGTGGGAAAAAATTATAAGTGAACTAATGAAAAGACAAAGTTGAGTTCATTAGGGGTGTTAAAATCATGGCATTGCACGGTAAAGTTAAGAGATAACTGACTCCATTACACAATACTGTCTATAAAGTTAATTATGCAAAATGTAAATTACCACAGACCAAAATGGATTCTGGGCATTTTTTTAAATTTTGAAGTTAGGCATTGACCATTTACAAAATGGCTCTGTACAAAAAAAGGGTATCTTACAAATTGTTGTGACTGAACTAAATTTAATGATAGAAGTTTTGCTCTTCACCAACTTGTTTATCTAAATAGATGTGCAACATTTATCTTGAACACCAGCTTACTTGTTAAGTGATTGCTATTGCCTAGTTATTTTCTTTGAGATTGAAATTAGCAATGGTTAAACTGGTTTTTATTGATTAAAATGTAATTTGTAATTAGAATGACAATGAGATAGTCTTGAATTTTCATTGGAAATGAACTTTAGCTGAAAGAAAATTAGAAATTGGTCAAAACTGTGTCACAAAAGGTGACCCACAAAAAAGCTTGTTATAAGATTATTGCTTACTGGAAGACAGAATTCCTCAAAGGCTGGTTTGACTAGAGTCATGTACTGATTCAGAATCTGTTCAAGCTCTCTGCCCCTCTCTTCAATGTCCCGTAAAACTGATAAGAAACAAAGTTCATTTTCATTTTTGTCTTAAGAAACCATTAGTTAACTAATAAGACATACCAATAGATTAAATCAGGGCTGTATTAACTACTGCAGTTTCTCGGTGAGTAATCAAACAGCAACTACAACAGATATGTGACAAATCAGAGTTAAAGCCTAGAAGATTTTACAATAGAATTTACTTCATACCTCTTCTTGATAATCGAGTATCAGGATCTGTATCCACAAATAGTCTCATATTGAATAAATCTCTTATTTCTGGGAAGTAGAATACTAAAATACCCTCAAAAAGTACTACATCAGCACAATGGATTACAGTTGTTCCTTCCGAATTTCTATAATGTGTAAAATAAAAATATGTATGAATAGTAACAATGAATATTTAAATATTTAAATTTAATGAAACATATTTTTTAAAAATTTGTTCGTTTATATTCACAGTGATTAACCTTCATCTTTATTGTTTGCATCATACCAATTCATATGGTTTACCAATGAGTGGCCCAAGAAAATGAAGTGTTACTGAAGAGCAAGTAATCTGAACAAAGACAGAGGAAGAAGAGAGAGGTCCACACCTGCACATGGTCATCTAGGAAGAGTAGTAAGTTGCAGTAGTTTCAAAGAGACGTAGGGAATTGGGGTGTATAGGAAGCGACTGGATGCATAGAAAAGTTGGGAGGACATTCGATGGAGTTATCAAAGTCATCTCAAACCATTTGCATCCTAACACCATCAAACGGAATGTTGGGGTAATGTCTTAAGGTAGTCTGGAACTAGAGGAATCAGTGATGAGTAAGAGAAATGTCTGAAAGGAACCCTAGTGATTAGTGAATATAGCGATTTTGAAATTACTTTTGTGTTAAAAATGGAAAAAAGATTTTTTTTTGCTTAAGGCTTAACCCTAAATAAAACTTAAAGAAAGCCTTGGGAGATGCCAGTGGAGGAGATGACTTAAAACTAGCAAAAATATTAATCTACTTGGATGGACAGTACTATTATCAACTTTATCAGTACTGCATAGCTGATGAATTAACTGTGAGTTTCCCTTATTTTTCAATTAATTTTCAAATTAAAAAAAAATCTAAGCTTTCCTTCCTTTAAAATAGTTTGCTGTACCATTTGCATAAAAGTGGGGCCATTACCCCAACTCTCTTCTGAAAACAGATTTGTGAAATGTCATCACACTAGGACACTAAACTACAGATAAGCTTTGGTGGGTTTTTTTAAACTTCAGTTTCAAATTATTTTTAAATAATTTAAAATCTGAAATAAACTTTTTAAAATTCAATTCCACACTTTCTAGGAATCCTGTGTTATTAAAAAAAAACATCTATTCCTTGAATAAATATTAGACAAAATGTTGACTAAATTTTAAATCAACATGATGAAAATTACTTCAAAGGTGATCTATTTTTTTTTTTGGAGGAATTGGTGAAACAAGTTATAATTGTTGCTATTCATTCTTCAATAAACTTTTTTGTAAAGACATCCTGTAATCAATGCTATTTTTTTAGAGATCATTTGGTAACTTAGTTGGCTCCAAAGTGTTGCTCAAACTACATTCTATCATCTTTTTTGCTAGACTTCAATGTTGTTTTGAGTGCAAGGAATCCCCATTGGAATGGTACTAAACACTGACCATAAGTGTAGTAATTAAGTGGATAATAAGAAACTGGAGTTCTGTTCCTCCTGGACATAATTAGTTTCAAAGAACTAAATTACATCATTAGCTTTAGCAATGCTGGTTAAAGGACAATACAAGTCTCTGGAATATCATCAAATGGTAGAGATACTATGGCAAATGATGGTAGATTAATAAATTGAAGCTTTATCTGTCCCATAAGGAACACTAGCTAGTTTTTGTCTCCACCTACATTGAAAATTATAAATGTATTTCTTCGATTTCATTTCTGAACACAAAACTTGATAGTTGGATAAACACAAAATTCATTTAACTCTTACATTTTCTTTCTATTACACCTTTTTAAAATCAGTTATCACTAGCAAAAAAAAACCACAAACAAAGCTAACACAAAAAAGGGCAGCATTTATTTATATGTTTTAATGATTAGTTTTTAAGAGAAAAGTTTTTGTAGATAAAATCTTTATAAAACAGGTAGGCCTAAATTATGTAACTAACAGCTCTGCCCATTTAAATACTAGGCATGCTGCCCAGCTTCGCTTAGGCTTTCGAAAACATTGAGAATTTGAATGCTTAATTAATTCACCCGAGGGTCGGTCTACGACCTCAGGAGTTATGAAGAGGTTCCTACGTGGACATTTTTATTCGATTTATAGCTCATTATAGCTCATATAATGCACCGGTCAGTCGAGGTCAGTTTTGAGCCCCTCATCGTAGACTTTTCGGCCAACCGGCCCCCGTGTTCTGTCGCCCCAAGAGAAGATCCTGTCAAATTTGAAGGGCCTGCGGCGTTGGGAACACCCGACAACTTTGCTTTATATATTATAGAGATTAGCAAATTGCATAGATAAACAAAGATTTCAATAAAGTAATTAAGGCCTGAAATACTTTAGTATAGAAATGTATTATTTGAACAGATTCTAGATCTAGGTAGGGTCTACATCTGTGTAAGTCTAGTTTCTCCGTAGATCTAGATCATCTAGATCTAGAATCTCTAGATCTAGATGATCTAGAATATCTAGATCTAGAATATCTAGATTTAGAATCCTAATAGGAATTTTTTTTTACGTTTAGCCCGAGCAAAATTGCATTGTGTAAATTTTATAGCGTAGGTAGATCTAAATAATATTGGAATGAAATAGTTCATTTCTTTTTATTCTAAACACGGCAGATGACGTCATTAGTTAATGTATAAACGTTAGTGACGTCACTGTTTTATGCAATCTTTTTCACAACTACAAACGCTTTTCCTGTTGCATAATTGAAACTGTTTTTCTACATTCGAATACGCCTTTAAATTTTATTTTTCTTCTTTAAATAAAATTGTGGTTATACATTTAAAACATCTAACATATTATTTTCAACAAAAGTCTGTATCAAGTTCTTGATATATCGCTGCCGATTCTGATTTGATATCCAGCGAAAATATTTTGTGGACAAAGAGAGAGAAGTGCGCACATGGGCTATTATATATTAGGATAATATTAAAGCTGATGAATAATGAAATAAAGACTTCCAAATTTACCTCTTATGTGCTACGTAATCCCATGTTGGTAACTCTACTCTTTTGCCGGCCTTAACATCCATTAATGTCTTGTGCATAAGTTCAAAATCAAAAGCATCTTAAAATAAAAATTTTGAATAGATATACTAAACAAGCTATGTAGGAATATAAAAACGTAAACAATAAAGTGTACAAAAGGCAATGTACTAACTCTTATCTTTATGGTTTAGTGCATAGGGTTCAATGCATACACGAGATAATTTCAATATGGGGTGATTCTGTTATGCTTATCAGTTTTCACATATCTTAAATTTTGCTCGTATGTCAAAACAAAGTTTAGCTCGCTCACTCGAATCTAAAAAATCTTATATATCTTGGCACTCATATGTATATATATATATATATATATATATATATATATATATATATATATATATGACCCTACCGCAGTATACGCAGCTATTTAGTTGTTTTATTTTCTACATTTCAGTAATTCATAATTTGTGAATTCAACACTACCAATGCTGTGACTGAAAATATTTTGCTTTAAAACACTAGCTCAAGAAGGGCGATTATTCCCCCCCCCCCTGCCGCAAAAGCAGCCATCGGTGACGACAGTTTACAGACGACAATGAAAATATCAAGCAGAACATGTTATCACCTCCCCTTAGTTTCAATTAATTTATTTAAAAACTAAATTATCTTCCCCAAATAGTCGTTACTAATTCAACCCAGCTCTACCAGACTGGTGAGGGTGCGGGTGATAGCGATAAGTCTGTTGCTCATGATTGGAGAGCTAGGGAGGGGGCGGATCTGCGTACGTATACGTGGTTGTGTCCCGAATGGTTGGGCGACATAGAGAATTATATAAAGATATATATACATATATATACACATACATATATATGTATACATATATATACATATGTATATTTCAAAAGTAGGCTATTATCTAGTTATAATGGAATAAAGCTATTGTAAAGTTGAAAAACAATAAAAAAAATTTTTTTTCTTCAAATGGACCTTGGTCAACCCATATTACAGTATTGCTCAATGAGAGCTGTAAATATAAAGGATAGAGTGAAGAAAGCATTATTTCAATGTCTGATATCTATTAAGTTAAGAAGGATGGATAGAGTGAAGAAAGCATTATTTCAATGTCTGATATCTATTAAGTTAAGAAGGCTGGATAGAGTGAAGAAAGCATTATTTCAATGTCTGATATCTATTAAATTAAGAAGGATAAGTAGGTAACAGTTAACATTACACAATTAATGTGTACTTCTTAATATTGTTAAACATTGCATACAATACAAAAAAGTAAAATACAAAGTCCACACAACTATGTTTTATTCGAAAAATCAAAAATGAAATGCTGCAGATACCTGGATGATCAAAGTTATAACCGCCTTTATTAGCCTTTTTGTGTTCTTCAAGAGTGAGGTCACGGTAAAAGCTGTCTTGGCTAATGATAGTAACTCTTCTGTTATGTTCCAATACAGATTGTTGGCCCAGCTGTTCCATTATCTTTGCACATACTGTGCTCTTTTTAAGAAAAGCAAATTGAAAATATCAATTTCATTATTATACCAAAAACATTTATTCAAAACTAAAACATGATTATATAAAATCCAAATATGAGTGTATATCTCACTCTTTTATGTCTTTTTACCTGTTTAATCCTATTAAACCAAATCTAATAATCAAACCTTTATACACACATTTGTCAACCTTATTATGCATTTATATATGAACATTAAAATACAGGGGCTGTCATCAATATTTTTTTAAACTAGCTCAAAGATGCACTGGTTTCCTCCAAATATTTTAAAACCATATTACAGCTGAAATAATGCATGCTATCTAGTGACAAAATTATATAGTATCTGCAATTTTGATGAGATCAGGGTAGTTGTTACATTTCCTGAATTATATAGTTAAGTCACGGATTGTTATCAAAATTTCTTTACCATGAAAAACTATAATTTTCTTCAGTACTAAAAACAAAAACAATTATTAAATCATTATTATTATTAAAAAATTATTATTTTATTATTATAAAAATATATATCATACATATATAATATATATCTTATATATATCATATATATATATATCACACACACACACACACATATATATATATATATATATATATATATATATATATATATATATATATATATATATATATAGCATATATATATAAATAGCATATATATCAATATATATAGCTTATATGTATAGGCTTTATATTATATATATGTATGTATATATATTTATATATATGTATATATATATGTATGTATAAATATAAGTGTGTATATATATAAATAACACAATGAGAAATAGGCTACTTTTCCTGAAGCTGTACCACCAGCTACTCCAATGAGAAAAGGTCTTGGAAATTTATCAAGGACATTCAAATTGTCTTTTCCATTACCAAACACAGGGTAGGCCATTTGGCTGGAGAAAAACATAACACATTTGTTATTAATAGTTATCTGAAAAAAATAACATGCTCCCTATCCTATTTTAAATAAGTTATGATTTTCTTCCTGAATTATGTATTTTTTAATGCAGTAGTGTTAACAAACTGACACCTGCTACAAACACATAGCTCCGTTACCTTAGTTTCAACTTATTTTAACAACAAAACAGTAGTAGGTATATTAAGAAAGTTTTCTAGAGAATATCATTTATAAATAAACTACTAATGTTTTAGTGTTTTAAAACTGCTTTTTCAATCATATTTTTGTTATGTTTTACAACTTAGATGAAGTAAATTCACTGAGTTATTAGTTGTTCTAATTTTTTTGCAGTAAAATTTTTTCTGTATCAGTGAGGAGGTGCAGGGCCAACTACGACTACATGAGGACTATGACTATGCTATGCTAGTGATACAGTAAAGTTCTACAATGGATGACTAAACTGAATTAGGAAACTGTAGTTTTTATCCTTTATGAATTACACCACCTTTTATCCAATCACCTTGAAACTTTGGGAAAGTCATCAAGTACACTCCATAAAAATTTCACTGGATATATATTTTATAAATCTACCATATTTTCACAATCTATTGAAGCTCAGCAATAGCTTGGTGCAGTCACTTTTTCCTTTCATTTCTGCCTAAAAAAAAACTTACAATTCTTTTTTAAAACAGTAAATGCTCTAAATTCATTTTATTTTAAAGATAAACGAGCCGACCCGCAGCGTATCATACCCCGCTATTTAATTGTTTTATTTTCTACTTTTTAGTAATTCATAATTTGTGAATTCGACAGTACCAATGCTGCCACTGAAAATATTTGCTTTAAAACACTAACCCCCCCCCCCCCCATTTCCCCTAACCCCGACCCTACACCCCCCCCCCCCGTGAAAGCAGCCTCCTCTTAGTTATTTCTTAGTTACCTCCTGTAAGTTTAAAATCGAACTAAATTATCTGCCCCTAATAGAAACCCGGCTCTACAATTTGTAAACATTTAGCTTTGTAAACATTTAGTGTGACAACAGCTCACCAGACAATGTGGGGGTGGGGTGTGGGTGGTAGTGATAGAGAGAAAGAGAGGGGACTGCAAGGAGGCGCTTGCAGCTTGTTTTCTAACGGCTCCCAGAAGAGAATTATATATATAGATAGATACTTGCCTTTGCTCAAATAATTATACAAAATTATACAAAATCAGTTTAATAAACCACTTGTAATTGTGTTATTATCAAGTAACTGATTACATTTTACAAATACATTTTTTATGAATTTATTAAGATCTAGACCAGTGGTTCCCAACCTTTTCGAGTGGCGACCCCTTTTCATAAAACGTAAGTGACCCGCGACCCCCATATAATTAACAAGTCGAAATTAGTAAAGAAAATAATAAGCACTAAATTAATATTTTCTAGTAGACTTTCAATATCAATTATTCTTGATAACTGTTTTATACGATGAGCAAAATTACATGCTATTAACAAGCATTAACTAGCATTAACAATTAAATTTTGCAAATTTAAGAATTCCTCTTGTTATTCATCAGCAATGCTGGTAACATCAAGGAAAGCAAAGAATGGGTGACAATGCAGATTCTTCTTCTTTCAGCTCGGGGAAATAACGCCGCAGTTTGTTGTCAAGAGATTCAAGATACACAGAATCCTTTAAAAATTGTATCAATCACACCACACTACAGAGTTTCTCAAACATGGCAGTATTTCAAATATTTATTTTTCCTCGTCAATTTTGCAGCCTTGATAAAAATGCCAAGAGATTATCATGAAAAGAGATAATATTCGTTCCTTTATTAGGTTAAGCTTGCGTTGATGTTCGAATATATCTGCTAGGTATGATACACTCTCTAACCACACCATGTCGTTAAAGTATATCAAAAGGTCTTGTTTCCTTGCACTTCCAAGAACATCTTGATTTCATCTTTCAATTAAAAAACACGATTGACATTTCCTATTGACAGCCAGCGTACTAAAGTGTAGAACCTCGTGATATTTATTCATGTCTTTGCACAGTTCTTGAAATGGAAAGGTGTTTAAGGCTCCAGATTTAATATGATTTACGACTTTTATTAGCAATGGAGTCGGATAAGTCTTGTTTGCCAGGGCATATGTGAATCATGCAGTGGATCCCCCTTCATTAGGGAGCTAAATCTTTTACCTTTTACTTTTTTCTGAAACCCCCATTTTGACCCAAACATGACGCACCATCCGTACAAACCCCACAGCCGTTTTCCCATTTTAATCCTCCAGTTTCAAAAAACGTATTTATTTTCTCCATGATATCTTCACAAAACATGAACTCTTATTTGCTAACATCTGAATGAATATATTTCACAAAGACAAGCAACTGCGAACACGAACTCACAACTGTCGATTCGTCAACTTGAAAATCAAACAATGGTGAAAGCTTGATTTCATTCTAAATTTGTCTTTTAACATAAGCCGCTGCATAGTATTATTAGAGATATTTGTTGCATCTTTACTGCACAGGAAACCCCAAGAATTAATTTTACCATCTTCAGCATACATGGTTTGATGAGATTTTCTCCTTTGTGTGATAGGTTTTTTGTTTGGCAATTTCTAATTCTACTTCATATGATGCTGTGTTTTCTTGGTGAAATGTTATGTTCGATCAAGTCTCTGACGATTGCAACTAGCTTCATGCCGACAAAAGAACTGCATATCTTTTTTGGTGTGTTCCGAATGACTCGTCTCAAAGTGACGTTTGGAAGTTTTCATAGACTCCTGATTAAGAGCAACTTTACACAGTACAAATTGTTTATTCTCTATTCCATTTCCAGTGATGTTAGTAATGCCGAATTTCAAATATTTTTCTAATTATTTATGTTTTTTATTCATTGCTAGAGTTTAGTCTACCAGTTGGCGACCCACCAGAAAGCCCTTCGCGACCCCCAGTTTGGGAACCTATGATCTAGACCAACATCAGCTATTTTGATTTTTTTTACCTGTATAATTAGTCATAGTACAAATCTGCTTTCAAAGAAAAATAGCATAAAAAGTGTTTAATGTGGTGACAAGCACGCAAAGAACAATGATGTCACACATGTTTAAACTACGGAAAGTACACAACACTAATAGTGTCATCTCCCAATTTTAGAGTATGAAGAAATGAACAATTTCATTCAAATATGATATAGATCTGTCGATCTACTTATCATGACATAATTTATGAAATTTGTACAATTTTCTCGGTCAAAACTAATACAATTTACTTTAAAAAACAACATAAATACCATTGAACAGCCAGGTTTTAAACGGAATCATTTAAGTCTCTCAATATTGTGTGCCTTTTATAAGGTGTTGTGTTGACTCATAATGTATATAGTTTGGTTTTTCTAATAGGTATTGGTAGCCTGTGTTATTTTAAATGATCGGATTTTCAGCTATTTAGTAATTTCTTTGCTTTGTCACTAATATTGTTCAACGTGCAGTAAGCACATTGTGTTTTGACCAATAACTTTTTTATAAAACATTTTTCTCAAACAAGTATAACATTAAAAATATTTAGGCAGCCTGTAATTCATGTGTGGCTAGTTCAGCCATTGAAGAATATCTTATCTGACAAGTAGGTCATATAGTTTTGTTTTAGGTTTAACAAAGGAAAATATCTTGTACAGATCAAATAGCCACTCTTAGAATTATTGTAGAACAGACAATAGAATGGTATGCCCCACTTTACATCTGATTTGTTGACTTTAAGATGGCCTTTGATAGTGTGTATAGGCAAACAATATGGAATCTGTTAAGATACTATGGTGTACCTGCTAAGTTAGTGGAAATAATCCAGTAACTCTACATGGATATTCATGCCAAGTTAGCCATGCTGGGAAACTGTTTGAAGAGTTTCTGGTCAACACAGGTGTTAGACAAGGATGTCTTTTGTCGTCCCTTCTCTCCTTGGTGGTTCTCAATATGGTGATGCGCACAGCCTATGCCAGTTCTGGAAAAGGTATACAGTGGACACTCACAGGGAAATAAGAGGATCTATAGTTTGCAGATGATCTTGTCTTACTCTCGCACAGGCTACAAGACACGCAAGAAAAAGTTGATGCATTAGGAGCCATCTCTCAGCGCATAGGTCTCAAGATCAACAAAGAAAAGACAGAAGTAATGAGAATTAACAACAACCAGGAGGCCCAAGTGACAATAGATGGAAGACAGATAAATGATGTGCAAGAGTTTGTCTACCTTGGCAGCAACATCACCAAATTGGGAGGCACAGAGGAGGACATACATGCTAGGACATACACTGCGCTTTCACAGTTCTGCAACTCATGGAAAAATTCTGCCACCTCCAACACAACAAAAATTAGGATACTTAACTCAAATGTCAAAGCAGTTTTGCTATACGGAGCAGAGACATTGAGAGTATCCAAAGTAAGCACAGCAAAGATACAGACCTTCATGAATAGATGCCTGAGATAGATTTTGAAATTGAGGTGGCAGGACAAAGTGCCTAACAGAATTATGGAGAAAAGCAAGGCAGAAGCCTATGACAGTACAAATAAGAAGTAGCGCTGGGTGGGTCACACACTGTGAAAGGCTCACCCAAATGTTACACGCCAAGCGCTTGAGTGGAACCCCCAGGAAAAGTGGAAGAGAGGGCTCCCAAGACAGACCTGGAGGCAAAGTCTTGTCGAAGAACTGAAGCCAACAGGGATGTCTTTGGAGACAGCAAAATTAATAGCCGGGGATCAGATGAAATGGAAGGAAATGGTGGAGTGGCTATCTGATCTGTAAAACATCTTTCCTTCTTAAAACTTGCTTGTTCCTCTCTTAGCTTAAGGTCAACCGCCTATTTCATTCTGTCCAAAATTACTCTGGCAAGGACTTTACTTGAGATTGACAACAAGGTAATACCCCTCCATTTTCCACACTGAGATAAGTCACCGTTCTTAGCACTTCACAAGGAGGCCCCTCTTCCAATAGGTTGGGATGTGTCCTGTGTTCCAGACAAGTTAAGTAATTTATGAAGTCGATTTACTACTTCTTCTCCACCTTGTTTTAATGCCTCTGCTGGGATATTATCTGGTCCTGATGCCTTGCCACTCTTCAAACTATTTAAGGCGTTGAGAATTTCCTGTCTGGTGATTTCCTCGGTATTAGATGTTAAGGGGTTCCCTTGGTTTCAGGTCTGGTGGATCTTGTAGTAATGGGCTGTTTAGTACTTCCTGGAAGTGCTCTCTCCATCGTGCCAAGTGTTCTTCAATTGACGTTAGAAGTTTACCATTTTTGTTCCTCACCGACCTGTAGGGATTGGTTTTCCTCCCACTCAAATTTCTGGTTGTTGCATAGAGCGTCTTGAGATCTCCCTTACTGGCAGCTGTTTTGGCCTGCTCTGCCATTTCATTGATAAACAATCTCTTGTCATTTCTTAGTTTCCTTTTCACCTCTTTAGCCTTTTCATTATATTGAGAGGCTGCTGCTTGTTTCTGCTGCCGTGTTTTTGCTTGATTTAGTTCGCTCTTTAGGCTCGTTCTTTCTCCCACCTTCTGCCATGTATTATCTGCAATCCTGTGCCTGAATTGTTAACAAGCCTACACAATTTTGCACCAAATTTTTATTTTTTGTTTGTGTCTGGAAAAGAGAGTCTAGATTACAAGTGCTAGTTGCTAGTACTACTATTATTGTATTAATTAGTAGTAACTTAGTACTTTAGTACTTAGTAGGCCTACTGTGAAGTACTAGATCTAGTTACTAGGATTTAGATCTATTAGTTAGTTGTCTATTGTAGTCTAACTAACTAACTCTAGCTGAGCTAGTTAGTAGTTAGTTAAAGTTAGTAGCTAGATCTAGAACTAGAACTAGATTAGTAGGTCTAGACTATATCTAGTAACTAGAATATATTGATTAGTATTTACTAAGTATTTAGTTAGTAGATTCTACTTCTAGATCTAGAAATAAGAAAGATGAATGATGATCACCTAAGAGACCTAGACGGTAATCTATTGTTTTACGTACAATCGGTCGAGACTAGTAATGTGAAAAAAGGGTGACTCATTAAATTTTTGTAATTTTTTCACATTTCTAGGAGGATTTATGTTTTGAAAGTTACAAAAATGGTACATAAAATCGTCAGAGGCTAGTAATTGGCGACAAAGTTGCCTCATTGTTAAGGCTTTACTAGAAGTATTATATTGTGATATATTTGTGTCAAATATTACAGATAATTGAATAATTAACCAAAATCAATGTCTAACTATATCAATATAGGCCAGAAATTATATACAGCAGCCATTTGTAAAATAGAGTGGCTTCCCCCTGAATCTCGCGCTATAAGTTTATAAATAAACCGGGAGTGATTCCCCTAAACTTTCTCAAATATTCTAATATAAAATTACGAGGGATGGTAACTCAGGACATAGACAATATTTGTTATCCATTTTTAATTACTTAAACTTTTTATAATAGAATAGAATCTCGTAAAAAAAAGAATTGCACACCAAGTGAAAAGTTTCCCTTTCAAACCTGACGGTCTATGGGGCAAGTGAAGTAGAGTTCACTTGTTTCTGTGACCTCGGCATATGAAGAGATAGTGTAGTCAGCACTATGCCCAGCCGCCTTTACTTTCCCTAACAGGAGTTAGGTACCCATCAGAGTTGGGTGGACTCAGGGACGGTCTACTGACTTGAACTCGGATTCGAACTCGAGACTAACAGGTTAGCAGTCCAGCTCTCTACCGCTAGACCACTCCATCCCACACCAAGTGAACGCCTAATAAAATGTGTATAAAAGTGCGGGATATTATTAGTACTTTATAAATTTACATGCGTTTTTTGAGAAATCGGAAATAGCGTAAATTAGTACTTCTGGTAAACGGAAATTACTCAAAATTCGACAGAAGGTAGAGAATTAGATCTTTTACTTACTTGTGAAATTTCATGCATCTATCTAAAATAGTACGCAACTTATGGGCTTTTGAAAAATTCAAAGTAGAAAAAGTACCACTTCCGGTTAGTTGATCAGGATCTACGATTTTGATAAAATACTTATATATGAAATTTCATCAACCTAGCTGTAACGGTACTCAAGTTATCGTGTTTACACACAGACAGACACACAGACATACGGACAGAATTGCAAAGTCCAGTTTTTACGACTCGATAACGCATAAAACGCCAAAACGTTTATATATTTGTATTTATAATTTTTGCCTGATTAAAATAAGTCCTCTATACTCCGGATGTGATGAAGGACTGAGGAGTAAAATGGTGAAAACTGTCAAAATTTCATGTTATTTTTGTGCAAGATTACAATACTTTCTCTATACTTCGTATATACGAGAAAATTTAAAAAAAGTTAAACAAGATGTCTGCTATAGTAAATGAGCATGGTTGCATCAGTTGGAAACATCGCTAGTCTTCATTTATTACTGAAAAGTTTTAATTGAATTGTTTAAAAACAGATAATTAAATGAAACAATTTATGTTTTGAAAAATACAAAATTGTCTCATTTAACAATGAGACAATTTTGTATTTTTCAAAACATAAATCCTCCTCAAAATGTGAAATAATTGTTAAAATTTAAGGAGTCACCTGTTTTTCACATTACTAGATCTAGCGCGGGCGATTTTACTTACCTAAACGCCTAAAACGATAGATTACCATTAAAATTATCAATATAATATTATTATTAGGCCTAAATAAATAGTAAATATTAAATTATTATTCTAGATTCTAGATTTTCTAGATCTACTTCCTCACTAATGTAATGCTGACTAGTCAAGTAATAATGTCCTAATTAATAGTCATTTAAAATTTAAGTAGTCTACCATAAAAAGGGATATCAATAAAATGTTCTCAAAATTAACTTTAAACAAAGATGATCGTTTGAGAATATTTGAGATGCACAAAAACAACTAGAAGGTCTAGATCTAGATCTAGATCTAAAAAACAGCTGCCATCTTAAGAAAATCTTGTTTAGAGTAGTTTCCCTTTAAGCCCCACTGGTGATGCGTTTCTGCCCCTGAAAAATTATTTTCCCGTCCGTTCAACGTATTACATATAAGAGATCTAAACTTGGTGCTGCAAATAATGGTGTCACCCAGTGGCGTAACAACCATGTAACCAAGGTGGTCAAAGTCCACGGGCAGTGGCGTGCAGAGGGGGGGGGGGGGCGGACGGGGCCCAGGCCCCGGGCATCCACCACTGGGGGGCATCAGTGGCGTGCAGAGGGGGGGGGGGGCGGAGGGGGCCCAGGCCCCGGGCAGCCACATCAAGGGGGCATCCAAAGGGGGTAAAAAAAATGATTTTTCTTTTTAAATTTTAAATTTTTTTTTTTTTTTTTTTTTTTTTTTTTTTTTTGGAAAGCTAAATGTCTACTAAGGTTTGTCTACCTAGGCAGAATTATCAAATTATCACAATTTGCCGAATTCACCGCAATGTGTATATACAATCAACACATGGCACTGATATAGTCATCGTACTGTCCGTGTCGTACAACCTTCAGGGAGAAAGGGGCATCGGTGAAGTGTAGTGGTGTAGTAGTCATTGATATTCCCCGAATAACTGTATGCAGTCTTTCAATTAATAGAGTATCTGATACTTGTGTAGGTAGGGGCATCTTTTAGAGAACACGCCCATAATCATTTTATACACTTGTGGTCATCCATAGAGTATTAAAGCCCATGATTATAATCTACACACTGTAGGGGCATCTTTTAGAGAACACGCCCATAATCATTTATACACTTGTGGTCATCCATAGAGTATTAAAGCCCATGATTATAATTTACACACTGTAGGGGCATCTTTAATGTAATTTGCTTATATTCATCATAATACTTTTGAAGGGCATCCAAACAGTAATTATGCCCGCATACATTTTATATATCATCAGGGCATCTTTAAAGTAATTTACTTGTATTCACGTTTGTATTTATATAATTATAGCAATTATGCCCATATTCGTTTATATATTATCGGATATTTATTATGCTTATATTCTTTATTGAATGTCTGAAGGGCATCCCTACAGTAATTATGCCCTTGTTCGCTTTATATTCTATCGGGCATCTTTATTATGTTTCTATTCATTGCATAATGTTTGTAGGGCATCCTTATTTATTATGATGGACGTAACGGCATTCGTAGACTGATTAAGCACACAGCCTATTAGTTTTTTTTTATTCTAATGATATTCTTTATTCATGGCCATTTGGATTTTTGTGTACGGTTAAATACAAACTTTCAAGTCCGTACTGTTTTGATACACTGGGCCGGGCCGAGTTAACTTCATTCTAAAGTTGTCCTTAAGTCTCACACTTCTTAATTAGGGGTCATCCATTTATGACGTCCACACTGGGAGGGGGGGGGGGTCCGAAAAAAATTGACTTTTGAGGACGCGTGTGGACAGGGGGAGGGGGGGGGGGGGTTGGCCCAATGTGGACGTCCACACATTAAATCTAACATTATTTTTGGTAGGCGGTGTTATCCCAGTTCAGTTGTGAGACGGGAGAGAGGTGGAGGGAGGGGGGGGGGGGGGCATAGCACGCTGTCCTTGTTCAGGTGTGGGACAGGAGGGGGGGGGGGCGTTAATACACACTAGCATCAACGTTGGACTCAGTAATATTACAGTGTCAATGCGACTTCAAGTGTGCGAAATAATGGCTAGTCAAAACACCGCGAAATATGCTAAATTAAATGATTTGTATCAAAAGGCTTATCCTTCCAAATTGAAATATCAACTAAAAAAAGAGGTTAATAGCCTATGGCTTAATTTAAAGAGGCAGCCAGAAGAACAATTTAATTTACAGCTAAATTAAGGGTCTGACATAGCATAGTGGATTTTTAAACACAGTCCGATGTAGAAGCAGGGGCGTAGCGAGGGGGGGGGGCGGGGGTGCGGACCGCACAGGGTGACACCATTTAGGGGGGTGACACCAAGGCAAAAAAATAGCAATATATATATATATATACTTTAGGGGGGTGCAAATCGAAAGTTTGAGGGGGGGGTGCTAATCAATCGAAAGTTTGAGGGGGGGGGGGTGCAAATCGAAAGTTTGAGGGGGGGGGGTGCAAATCGAAAGTTTGAGGGGGGGGGGGGGGGTGTGCAAATCGAAACTTGAAAGTTTGTCCCCAGGAAGGGTCGCGACGCCTCTGGGGGGTGACACCATTAAGTGCCGCACCGGGTGACACCCGACCTCGCTACGCCACTGTGTAGAAGTGTTGTTTTTTTAGGGCTGGCAGCTTTAGCCAAACAAGGTACACTTCTGTTATATTCAAGGTTCAGATACTTTGAGAGTATCTAGCATCACCCATCTCTTTAAAGAGTTGACGTTTTGACCAAGTGGTTTAGAGAAAAAATCTGAAACATCTCTTGTTCAATGCACACTCTCACCTGTATTAGTTACACTATAGGAATTCCTAAACAGGCCAAGAGAGAAACATCCCATAAATAAAGGCGTGTCTGACGCCCTAATTGTAGACACGGACAGCGTTTTTGTCCCTGCGGTCCCGGGTGGTAATACAATACCGGATGAGACTCTTTTGTAGTGCATCACAGCCCCCCCTCCCCACCACGACACGTCCACAATTGTCTCCCCCCTTTCCAACCCCCCCCCCCCCCCAAGTTCCAACCATTTACTCCATTTGGATTTAGCTGGCTGTAGTCAATGTTTTCATCTCAATTAAGATAAGTACAATTTTTTAAATAAATTATATATATATATATATATATATATATATATATATATATATATATATATATATATATATATATATATATATATATATATATTTATATATATATATATATATATATATATATATATATATATATATGTATTTATGGGGGGCATCTTCCGCTTGAGTTTGCCCCGGGCATCTACATAGGTCTGCACGCCACTGGGGGGCATCCAGCGGAGGTGGACAATTTTTTTTTATTCTGTTTTTTTTTTTTTTTTTTTTTTTTTTTTTTTTTTTTTAGTAATTTAAAAATTGTTGCGATATGTTGTGTCATGGTGTCATTGTAACTTTCCATATGTTTCCCGATCTCACTCAAAAAAATTGTAACTATCAATCGTCTGTCACTCGATTTAACATTACACTGTCCGTATAGCAAAACTTATATAGAAAAAGCGAGCATCAGTGAAGGGTAGTCCTATGGAAGTCAATGATATTCCCTTAATAAATGTGTGTGATATTTATTTAGTATAGTGTAGGGCAGGGGCGGAACTACAGTGCCGCCAGACCCCGCATTGCGGGGGGCCCGAGACGTTTAGGGGCCCGCAGCCGACCATAATCAAGTTTTTTACAGTTAAAAAAAATAATCTTCTTGCATTTTTGACTTGATGGATGTTTTGTAAAAAAAATACTGTAGCTGCTGTTTGATTATCTTTATTCTATAGACAACATCTCGAGTTATCTTTCTCCTACAATCAAACATGCTGTTGTCTGCAAAATTCTTTTGAAAATAAATCCATCGCGTGAAAGATACGCAAACGTTCAAACCACTTCCATAACTTATTTCCCTTTTTTTAAATAGTCAAATATGTGTGCTCTTAAGCACCTTTTAATAGATTTGCATTAAACACATTAAAAAGCAATTACTTTTCTTAATTTTTATTTAAAAAAAATACATAATAAAGAATGAATGACAAGCATAAAACAGAAATGTATTTAAAACTAATAATATAAATACAAAAAAACATAACAATAAACATAGGGCGAGAAACCATTACACATACACAGCTTTCATGCTTCATATTATTTCGACCGAGGTATTCAAGGGAAGCATTTTAGCAAATGTATTAAGACAAAGATTTTCAAAATTGACTAGATGGGTCGGCAACCTGCGGCTCGCGAGCCGCATGCGGCTCTTTTGGTGTCCAGTTGCGGCTCTTCAGCTCCATGCACAAATATTAATAATTATTTTATTTTCAAAACTCATAAAATTATTAGTCTGCAACACTCGGTAATAAACGATATAACATAAGATATAAACAATAAACATCGACTATTATATTAGAATATTTAGTTACTCCCTATCTCAATGTACTTCCTATTACATTGTCCATTCCGAATTGAAACATTCAACTTTACAGTGGATATCACAAAGAAACTAAACCAGCTAAGTGTAAAACTGAAAGGAAAACTGAGCCCATGTCTTGCTTGAAGAAGTGATTTTTTTCGAAAAAAAATACTTTTTTGTTGAATACATGGTGAGCGGTAAATTACTTAATTACGAAAAAATCTGAAAAAATATCGTTATGAAACCAATGCTACTATTCAATCACTTCAGCATTAATATAAGCAAAATGAAGGAGGTTTTCACCGAGAGATTTGAGCAATTCAAACAAATGCAAGTACTCTGACATACTTATATATATATATATATATGTATGTATATAATCCTAAACAAATATACTATTGACATAAAAATGTTAGTGGCTCTTAAAATCCGGGTAATGTTGTAAATTGTAACTTTTGGCTCTTAAGACTCAAAGGTTGCCGACCCCTGGACTAGATCTAATAGAAGTCACAAAAATGAAGTGGTGTAACTTGTTTTTACTTTTTAATAAAATCTAAGTATTTTTAATTTTTTTTTTTTAAACTCGAACAAGCCCGAAATGAGTATTCTATATATCATATTTTCGTCTCTCTCTCTCTCTCTCTCTCTCTCTCTCTCTCTCTCTCTCTCTCTCTCTCTCTCTATATATATATATATATATATATATATATATATATATATATATATATATATATATATAGGGGCCCAAAAAATTTCTTTGCGGGGGTGGCCCTTTTTTTCTAGTTCCGCCACTGGTGTAGGGGCATCGTTTAGAGTACTTGTGACCAAGTTATTCCCATGCACTGTAAGGGCATCTTTAAAGTAATATGCGCGTATTCGTTATACTCATTTTCAAGGACATCCGTCGAGTAATTAAATCATATTTATTTTTATAAACTGTAGGGGCATCTTTAAAGTAATTATTCGTATATTCATTATAATATATTTTATGAGCATTTACTAATAAGCCCACTTCACTTTATAATACATTTTAAAGGCATCCATACAGTAAGTATGCCCATC